GTGTGTGTGTGTGTCCACAGTGTGTATGTGTCTATGGACTGACCCACTCATAGTGTTCTGAGCTTCTTGCACATCATAGATTGCTTGACATGCGCATAGACACACACTTGTCTGGGGAACCTAGCTGAGCAGTTCATGCAGATGATGACATTATCTTGTCCTACAGGCTCCCCGCAGTCAGACGCATTCACTTACTGTCACCTAATTATCCATAGTGGGAAAATTTAATATTCACGACATATATTTTAGTTTTCTCTACCAGAACAGATAATATAACAGAGCTGCATTCACTTGGCTGCAGCCTGTGTGATTTGTAACGCTTTCTACATTGGACAATGTGTTGACAAAGCATTTCTCTGCATTGTTCTCTCTCTCAGAGAACAATGCAGGGAAGCTGACTCATTTTCCATCTCTTCTATCTGCAGGAAGGCAAGAAATGGCTTATATCTGCACCATAAACTAAATGGTTTTGTTTCTCCTCACGTGCAGCCCAGAACGGCCTTTAGTAGATGAACGGGTACCTCCACTGCATCATTACCTCTGCTTGTAGATTAGATAGTAATTAGGTGAACTCTATCAACTTATGTCAACCACTAAAATAGGATTTCATAAGCACTTGTTTTCTTCTATACGGTAACAAAAAAGTCCACAGCCTACTCTGTGAAGCTACACAGCAATGCTATGAGCTAAATGCTAACTCATGCTAACCAACATATATGATGCGAAAAACACGTTGATTGATAAAAAGGCCCCCAAGGTATGATGTTCACCCATGTTCCACAATCTTAGGTCAGCATCTAGAAATGACAAGCTTGCATTTACTAATTACGTAAGTACAGCTGAGGGTTGAATGGGAATGTAATAAGTGTTGCAGACATTTGTCTTAAACCAAGTGTGATATTTTGCTGATTATTGAATGTCTCTATACAAACTTTTGTGAACATTGATCAAGAAAATGGTGAATATTTCAAAAAAATAAGTGAAACCTTGAGCTTGAGTTAATAAGGGCATCTTGGACAAGGTTTTTCCAAAACATTTTTTTTAAAGTCACTGGCTTAGGGAAATGTTATCAGCAGGAGATGAGCAAAGTCAGCAGAGATTCATCCTCTTTGGGCCATAACTTACATCTAGCCCTCTTTCCTTACAGAAAATAGTCCTGTAGAGTTGAGGAGCCACTTTACAAGACCAGATAGAACAAGAGCACCTCAAGCATCCGTCTGCAGCTTTGCTCTGTCTCCGAGATCTTACTGCAGAGCCCAAGTCTGTCTGGCTCAGGCGCACGGGGTCTCTCCAGCCAGCGTCACAGGGTCCCCGGCTGGACAACTCCGCCCTGCTGCAGTTCCCATTATAAAAAAGGTTTCACTCCAAAGGTCCAGGATGCAAGACGTCACCGAGGAGGACCTCAAGCTACGTCCCCCATAAGACGGTGGGTGTGTTGGCATGCGTGTAGCTGGTTCATTAGCCTCCTGTTTAATTCCAGTGGTTATGGTCCTTTATTAATGGTACTGTATTAACAACTTAAATAACCTCAGTGGAAAGTATTATTTTTTTTATTTTTTAAGTATATTATTTTGGGTTTTATTGCCTTTATGATAGTGAAGCTGAAGTACAGATAGACAGGAAAGGTGGGTGGAGAGAGAGGGGATGACACGCAGCAAAGGGCCACAGGTCGGATTCGAATCCTGGGCCGCTGCAGCAAGGACTTAGCCTGGGTACGTGGGTCGCCAGCTCTACCGACTGAGCTATCCGGGCGCCCGGAAAGTATTATTTTAAGCAATGTAGTAAGTAAACAAGTATTAGCAGTAAAATTTACTTCAAAGCTAAGTTAAGAAGGATGTAAGGAAACAATGGAAGGATAGACGGATAAGAGAAAGAGGAAAGGTGGAAGAAACGTAGAGTGAAGGAGGGAAATAAGGAAGGAAATAAAGGGATATTTAGCAAGCTTACCTTGTGTGGAATGTAAAATGTTTGTCTGCAAAGTAGGTAAGTAAAAATATTTCAAAAATACTTCAACAATGTCAAAACTTGAGCACCTAGCATGTTCAAAGTCAGTACCGTAGATGAAATCTCCACCTCTTATACTTGATGTAATCATTGCGTGTTTAGAGACAGACGGTTTAATTGTCTTTCCTGTGATTGGTGCAGAAAGCCCACCTCGCCCTGATTGACGCTCTGATGACAGTGGCAGCCAAAGAGACGGTGGGCAGGGTGAAGATGGCGGTGGAGGCGGAGCAGATGGGTGTCGGGTCTCCGTGGGAGAACGCTCTGCTCTTCTGGGTCAACAGGGTGAGACCACGGCAACAGTGCCACTCTTTATTCAAATAGCTTGATTAAAGGCTAGGCTCACTGTTTCTCACTCCAGACCTCATTAAAATGTTTATCACTTTCACCTCACTGCTCTGCTGCAACTTCTTACCCTGGACTGTTGGTCCCCCTAAAACCAGGAGGGCCCAAACTGGAAGTTCTCAGAAAACCCAGAGATCTATTAAACTATTCTATGAAAAACTTTTTAATAAGGTTTGAGTTGTAAAACACCCTTTTAACTTCCTATAGCTGAACCAGAAGTTGAGAGAAATCACAGAAGAAGAAGAGCCCCCTAAGTCGCAGACATGTACAGACCTGCAATCTGCCCAGGATGCGGTAAACCCCCCCCCAACACACACTTATATAAACACATGCATGATGTATTAAGCAGCTGTCTCTCATACTGTACCGGTGTTGGTGCAGCTGCTAACATCCACCTTGCTCTGCTTCTCTGTTTTCTCCCCCTGGTTTGTCTGTCTTGCCTTGCTCTCTGGCAGTGTCAATCCACCCGTTGGTACTGGAAACTAGTCCCCGTAAGTGTACACTCTCCTGTCTATCTCTCTTTCTCTCTCTGAATCTGTTCATCTGCTATGGCTGACATTAATCCCACACACAACTCTTATCTGTCCCGTTATGAGAAGTGCCTTTGTGTATGTCATTTAAATATCTGCTGACTTTTACAACTGACCAATTAATGCCACTGAAAATGTCCTGTAACTGCTTATTATTATTAATAACTGGGGTGTTTTTGACTTTGTTACATTCAGTCATCAGTTTCATCTCAAACTGTCCAAATGATCAGAGCCGAGTGGGGAGAAGGAGATGTTGGAGAGGAGGGAGGGAGCTGAAATGACATCCTCGCTGATTATTAAACTACGTCTGCGCCCCCTTTGTTTGTCCCCATCCTCTCCTCCTCCCCTGTCGCTCTTCTCTCCCTGAGCAGTGCCATGTGACTTTGTGGTGTGGCGGTTCCCATGATGACCGGCCCCCTTGTCATTTATGCTTGTTTCCCTCTCTCTGCCATCCCCCATCCAGCATGCTATCGCTTTTTGTTTGAAGGAGTCGGGGAATAAGCCGCCAGTGGTAACGTATAACACCTCGCTCTTTTCTCACCCTCATCCTCCACGTCTCCCGTAGCAACGCACTCTACTGACTGACGGACTGACCAATCGCCACACCTCTCCCGCGCTGTCGACCAATGACTGACTGACTGCAAACTAACCACCATTCCAACCCCGAGGTTGGATGGATCAGTTAAAACCCATTAGCTTTTAACAGTATTAATCCATATTTGTTGTGTTTTACTGCTTTTCTTTAAAGTGTATGTTACAAAGCCATGTTAAAGGAGGCATATTGAGACTGAATATCACTCATTGATGTTGAACTTTTCACCTTTGACCTCCTCCAACAAGGCTGCGTAACATCATTCAGCATAAGTTACAGCTGATGCACATGCAGCGTTTGTTTTGTTTTGGATTCTTTTGGGCGTATTTTATCTCTTGTGCACATTACAAGGGTGATACAGTATTAGAGGTTTTTGTTTTAATAAAATGTACTTTTTCTTATCTGATTATGTATTTTTTTACCTGATCAGAACTGAAGTCTCACAGTGTCGTCAGTGCCTGTTTATGCTGCATGGACACCGGAGGATAAAGATCCTCTTTCTCACTTATAATCACTGACATTTTTCTACCCATAGTTTTCTTTTCATTGTATATTTTTATTTTTTGCAATGTCCTTTTTAACCTTTGCATTGCACCTTCTGGTTGGTGTGTGTGTATGTATGTGTGTGTGTGCAAATGTTTTTTTAATTGAGGCATCGCTGGTCTTGCGCTATCGATCAGATGAGAATTTTAATTCATTGGCAAATATCCTGGATTTGGCTATGAATATCTTATCATTATTCTAACAATAATCTTAAATCATAATACAAAAAATATCAATATTTATCAATATACAACAAAAATAATCTTATCTATCTATCTAGCATCAGAGTTTGAGCCTCTGGTTTTATTTATTGTCTAAAAGAGGGACAATCCTGGCTGGTTTTACATTTATTTTGTCATTGTTCTAACTCTCCTTAAACATAACGTAAATCTTCTATTTTCATATGTGTAATTTTTTTTTTTTCTTTGTTTGCCTTATGATCCCTCTTCTCTTCCCCTCACTTGTCCATTTGCTGCTTCTGTTTTCCTACTTGGCTTTGCACAACTCTTCCTCTTTTTACCCTCTTTTCTCTCCTCATCCTCCCCCTCCTCCTGCCCTGTCTTTCTTCTGTAGATCCGCTATAGGAAGGACAAAGTGCAGTCTAAGCTGACTCCTACTTTCCCTCTGGTCAATGCGGTCAAAGATCTGTCTAATGGCTGCGCTATAGCTGCTGTGTTGCACTACTACTGCTCCAGCTTGCTGCCTCTAGAGGGTACGCACACATACTCACACACATGCACACATAAACACATTTGATGATTAAATATTTATATTTGGCTAATGTAGGCATTAGCATGATGTGGTCCCATCATTTCGTAATTGTATGTTGCTGCTGCAATTCACTAAACTTTATTTGTTTGTTGTTTAAATATATATATTATAAATTATCTACAATAAATCAAAAATTATTTGATAACTACCTCTGAAAGACACGTACATACACAAACATTACATTCTACATATTAATATGTGTATGTATTATTTCTCTGCTCCCTCCAGATGTGTGTCTGAAGGACACTATGTCAGTGGCTGACAGTCTCTACAACCTGCAACTGATCAAAGAGTTTTGTGAGAGCAGTTTACAGAGCTGCTGCCCCCTCGCTGTGGAGGATCTGCTCTACGCTCCACCGGTTCTGCATGTAATCATTAAGACTGTTCACATTTACACTATAAATTACCATACTATAGATGCATGAGTACAGTTATATTGAGGAGCAAGAGAAATGTATGGATGGAAAAGAAGTGTTTAAAAGGCAACTCTGGCCTGGCTGGGTGTAGTTCATCTTTAACGTGTTTCCATGCAGCATCCTTTTGCACTTTGGGATGGTGATCAACTCTGTGGTAACTTAAAATTCCCTTTTCCTCAGCTGAACATCATGAGCTTCATAGCTGAACTGCTGGAGTGGTTTGAGGTTAAGAAGCCTGATTTTGTTCAGCCGATACAACCCGTCGACCTCACAGGTCTGTGACTTCCAGTATGGCAATGACAACATTTCTTTAACATTGGTATATTGGTGGTTTAATGCATAAATATCACATTGATGATCAGCCTCTGAAACATATCTTTTTTTATGTCTTAAAGATGTCTCAGGGTTACTAGACTGTACAAGTCCAGTCCACGGAAACAGCAACAGGTACCAGCATCCCATTTATACCACCCTCATGAACATCAGGGTAGAAAAGTAGACCTCAGCCAGATTTGGAATCTGTCCTAAACCAATCTGAACCTAAACCACTACTGTAGTGTTTGAGGCAAAATCTGATTAAAATCTAAATAAATCAGGATAAATAGGACCTGTTTGAACCAAGGAGTAATAGAAAAAGAATTGCCAAATGGCTGAGTGTCTACATACATTTTACATTTACTTGATTTAAGAGCTGTGAATGAACAACATTTTCATGTATTTTTTCTGTTTCAGTGGTTCCCCTTCCTTTATCTTCAAACAACCCTTTGTGCCCATCTGTTCCCCTGTGTCACCTGGTAAGAAATAGTAAGAAATGCACAGTGTGGTTGTATTTGAATGGCTCTAAAAATAGGCTTTAATAGACTTTTTAATCTGTCTTTCCAGAAAACAAAAGTTGGACAAAGAAACAAATCAGGTAGTTAAACTTAACAGCATCATGCAATTTCTATTGTTGTGTTGCATTCATATTTTATCTTAATTTAATTACTTTGGCTTCTGTGTTCTCTGCTTTTCCATTATCGTCTGGCACAACCCATCCATTTGTCCATCCTTCCGTGGTCATCCACCTCTCCTCAGTCGTCCTCTGTCAGCTGTGACTTTCAGCATCCCATTTGGGCTGGACAGTGATGTTGACATTGTCATGGGAAACCCAATAGATTCTGTCTTTCGCTCTGTCAGCACTGACAGCCTCACCACCGGCATCCCTGCAATGACTTCACCAGTGACATCAGCAGGGATGACTCATGTCCCATATAGCCCTCCAGAGGACTTCAGCCACCTGGTCAGTGCTTCTGCACCATCGCAGCGGTCGTCTTGGGGTCCTTACGCACACACAACACCACTGGGAGAGCTGCCGACCATCGAGGAGGCGCTACAGGTGGTTCATACTGCTGGCAGCAAAGATCGGAGGAAGGGAAGGACAGCAGAGAAAGGAGGAAAAGGGGTGTTGGGAGGAAGGCCAGAACCCAGGTTACGTCCCGAAGGAGCCCCTGCTGGTTTCTTCCTACACTCCCCTGAGGAGGATAATCCCCAGCTTAGTAGCTCTGCTCCTTGTCGCTCTGGAGTCATCCACCGGCCTGTCGGGGGAGAGGTTGGTGATAGTAAAAGGCAAGGAAGGGGAGAGAGGAGGGAGAAATCAGGACGTACCTCTGATATGTCACGCGATGACGACTCCGTTCTACGAGATGGGAGCGTTGACTCCTCTGAAGCATCGGATGATACCCCTAGAAATGCCCCTGGTAATATTCGACCCAGTAACAGTCGCCAGGGAAACCACGGCATCAGCAACGGTCCGCGGATGACAAGCTTTGCTGAGCGACGAGACAGCAGAAGAAGACATCCCGCTGCACCCGGGGAGGAGTCAGCCTCTGCCCCGACACCGACAACCCCAGGCACTCCACAGACACCCTCCACCCCAGCAGGGGCACCTGGCCACCAGGACAGCCCAGGTCCCAGAGGCCCTGAGCCAGGCTCTGAGGCCTGGGATTTGGGGGCTCGTCTTGAGGAAAAACGCAAAAGCATTGAAGCCCAAAAAAGACGTATTGAAGCAATCTTTGCCAAGCATAGACAGAGGCTTGGAAAGACTGCTTTCCTTCAACTGAAAAGAGAGCAAGGAGAAGGAGGAGGGGAGGGAGCAGAGGAAGATAATCTTACCCTGGAGGAGCGCCTCACGCGCATGGAGGAACAACTGAAACAGGAGGAGGAGAAGGAAGAGAAGGAACAGAAGGAGAAAGAAAAAGATGGAGAGAAGGAGAAAGATAAGCCATCTGTTTCCAATCCTCCTCGGTTAGAGAAGCAGGTCACATTCTCTATTGACAGTAAGAAAGAGGCAGAGAAAGAAAAAGGAGCAGAGAAAGAGAAAGGAGGTGAAGTCCTGGTGGAGTATAATGAAGTGGTGCAAAAACTGAGTGAAGCTCTGCAGTCACTACAGAAGGACATGCAGAAACTTACAGAACAGCAACAGCAGCTCATGAGTGACCAAAGACCCAGAAATACACCCAAAACTACTCCAAAATCGACACCCAAAAATTATGCCAAAACACAACCCAAAACTCCTCCTCACACTCCGACAAAGACACCGCCAAGAACCCCGACAAGGACTCCTACAAGGAGCACCACTAAAGCTTGGATCATTCCTGCTAGTTCCAATTCCCCCTCTGCCTCCTCCCCGTCAAGGCGTTCTCAAGTCCTTACCTCCCCAAAGACTGTCATCTCTTCTTCCTGCCCAGCTCCTCGCACTAAGATCCACTCCTCCTCCACTCCCCGCAGCCCCAAGCACCACCCACGTCCCCAACATCAGCCTCACCCACGGCCTTCTGAACTCAAGTTTCCCCCACTCAACCGCGCCTTGACACCAACCCATAATGTGGACACCCTCCAACATCTGCGACGTGTGTCACCCAGCAAGTGTCAGGTTCAGACCTCATCTTCTTTCCGTATCGGTGGGCCTCGGACTCCTCAACAGTCTCCACAGCCTGTCCAGCTGCCTGTCCAGCAGCCTGATGAGTGCACCTCAGACACAGGCTCTAGTGAGACACCAACTCAGTTCAGCCTGGAGCTAGAGCAGGAAGAGATTGAGGCTGTTGGAGGACTGCCAGTCTTGTCTCACTTTAGACAAGATCGTCCGAGGGCTGCTTGTGGAAGCAGCTCTGGAGCGCCTTCCGAATGCTCATTTGAGAGCGAGACATTGTCCCTCTCTGCTGCGTACAGCGAAGGAGGAGAAGGCGGGAAAGGTCGAGGTGCAGGGAAGCGCTGCAGCCTGATTGAGGTCTCCCTGTCATCTCTTGGAGGACCAGAGGGGGGCAGTGACGAACCAACTGATGAAGGGCAGGAGTTTTCCTCTGATTCTATGAGCGACAACACAGAATCTGCTGTAGAACCTGTTAGAGGACTCGTTGCAGAACCCCTAGACCCCATAGAGCAGCTGGAGCTGGCCACAAGAGCCGACAACTTGACGGAACAACAAACTGAATCCAAAGGAGAACAGACGATGCAGACGGAAACTTTGGAACCAAGTGCAGAAGAGAATGAGCAGGGGACAAAAGGAGGAATTCAGTTTTTCTTTAAGGTGATTGGAAGAAAAAGAAAAATGTATTTTGCTTGCAATTCTTAATTCTGTAATAACATTTTATCTTTTACTTGTGTGGTTGTAGGAGGAGGTACATAGTGAGGAGGAGATGGCCCAGCGTAGAGCTTTACTGTTGGAAAAACAGCAGAAGAGAACTGCGGAGCTGAAGAAGAGGAGACAGTGGCATGAGCAAGAAAGAGAAAACGGGTAACACACACAAACACACTAATGAAAGCACCTGCAAAGAGTTCTTTGCATTTAGACTCTACATTTGCGAACTAACACATCCAAAGCTATGATCCACCAATGTAAAAGTAACCTTATTCCTCTTGGTTTCAGACCAGCATTGGCAGACAAAAGAGTGGCATCTCCCTCCAATACACCTCCTGTAGACACAACCTCACCTTCCCCCACACCTCCTGCTACACCAGTCCGCCGGGACGATTTCACACGACGGGAGTATGCATGGCGGCACCAACTCAAGATCATGGATAACTTGGACAAAGTGCTGCGGGAAAAATCAACCACTCAAGGACGATCTTCTGCAAAGAAAACCCGCTCCCGGCCTCGCAGCATGACCAGGGAGGAAACCAAGCTCTCTCTGAGTCCAGCCAAGGGAACAACTGGTAAGGTCAAGCGGAAAAGAAATGTCATCACATTTGGGTTGTTTGTAGTTGAGTTCAATGACTTAATAATTATGTTTCTCCAGGCTCTAAGTTGACCAAAGTCTACTCTCACTCCTCCCTCAACCTGGTAGCCACGGATGAGCCAGGAAACAGATGTGCAGACCCCACAAAGAAACCTAACAGGTATATTGCTGTATAGGCATTTTACTCTCATTTATACTGTTTTTTTTTTCTCTCATTATACAGTGATATATATATACATAGCTTTAAAGGTGGAAGTGCTGATTGGTCAGATTTGGTTTGTCTGTTTAGCCCAATCATTTTGAACTATTGAATGGATTGCAATGGAATTTGGTACAGATATTCAAGGTCCCCCAAGGATGCATTCAAATGACTTTGAAGAACCCCAATGTTTAAACAAAATGTTACATTTTCCAGTCAATTCATAGCAGGGTACCACATTACTGTGAAATAAATGCTAACATGCTAAATGTTATCATACTACAATAACATCTTAAATGTCAGTATGATTCTTATTATAGATTTTTAACAATATTCACTTTTTTTTTTTAAACACAGACGAAATACAATCATGCATACACAGGGCTTGAGTGTCCTTGAAGAAGTTAGGTTACAATCCTATGGTTTCCAAGCCAAGTCTCAATAGACTATGTTCTCACATTAGCATGACAGTATGTTAGATGTTACAGGTTAACATTTTAATTGTTAACACCCAAAGTTGGAAACATGTTAATATGTTAATTAGATCTTCTGCTTGATTATACTTTGTGTGACAAAGGGGTGTTAAGAGAGTATCCCAGTCAAGTATTGTTCCTTGATTTATTTCTTAACTATAAATAAATGACTTGAGGTTACAGCCAAAGAACTGGAGTACATTCTTCTGGTTTTTGCAATTCCACAGCTATTGCCTTTCTTCTGTCACACGTACTTACTGGCTACATTTTAACCATAACTGTTCACCTATCTTTGTCGTGTGAGAACAGCTCGGGCAATTGTATAGTGCGTAGTTGTTTTATACCCTTAATTACTACTAAACCTTTCCAAGTTGGACATAGGAGTGGTGGAGGGTGTGTGAGCTCTCTTATTGATGATCCAACTGTGAATCCAGTCTGCTCTCGAGTATAACACAGAGATGGCCTGTTAGTTCATTGTTTGACATTTCTCCAACAGCCGTCCTGGTTCACCTGCAGGATGTGTGACACCAAGTAGACTAGCCAATCAAAATGGAGATAAAGAATGTGATACTGGTTCCAATGGTGCCTCACCTGCCCCAGAATACACAGGTACAGTACTACACACTACAGTATCTCTCAGTTTTTGAGTCTTAATGTGTATTGCCAGAATGCCTACAATTGTACACAAAGCTTTGCATAATCAAGTGTCTGTGTTTTCAGGTCCAAAGCTCTTCAAAGAACCAAGCTTCAAGTCCAACAAATTCATCATTCACAACGCTCTCACTCGCTGCTGCCTCGCTGGAAAGGTCAACGAGACACAGAAAAACAAGATAGTTGAGGTAGATGATTCATTTTACGATGAGCCACTTTGCAAGCTCTTCAGTAAAATTCATGACATTAGTCATTTAAAGGTCCAGTGTGTAACATTTAGGAAGCTCTATTGGCAGAAATTGAAAAAAATATTCAGTGTTTTTTTCATTAGTGTATAATGACACGAAAATAAGAATTGTTGTGTTTTCGTTACCTTTAAAAGTTGCCTTTTTGAGTTTTGTAACCATTGTAGTTTCTCTTTCACACATTCAGATGCAACCTGCAATGTCACCGCTAGATGCCACTAAATCCTACACACTGTTTCTTTAAATCTTGTTGTAAATTCTGTTATTTTTAGGCACCAAAAAAGGTTACTTCCATGTTTGAAGATCATACAAACAGCAGCAAAACTAAACCAATACAACCAAAATGATATTTTGCACTCTTCTTTCTCTTACTTCGACACTCTTCAAACCTCAGGAAATGGAGAAGAGTCCTGCCAACCACTTCCTCATCCTCTTCCGAGATTCCAGCTGCCAGTTCAGGGGCGTTTACACCATGAACTCCGACTCCCAGGAGCTTGTACGATTGGCTGGCGTGGGCCCACGGACAATCAGCTCCACCAACGTGGAGTCCATCTATAAGTACAGTTCAGACAGGAAGCAGTTCAGTGCCATACCCTCTAAAACCATGGGCATGAGCGTGGACGCCTTCACCATCCCCGGCCATCTTTGGCAAGGAGGAGGAGGAGGAGCAGCAGGAGGAGGAAGCAGGAGAGCAAGCATTACTAAGAAGGCAGTCATTTCCAAGTGAGGATTATAACACATCACAGTGACCGATCATTAAAGAAAACACTGTAATCACACTGTAATTATAGGGAATAACAGTAGGAGGAGGAGGAGGAGGAGGAAGCAGGAGAACAAGCATTACTAAGAAGGCGTCACGTCCAAGTGAAGAACATAACACATGACAGTGGCAGATCATTAAAGAGAGCACTATAATTATAGTGAAAACCATATGCACACAGCTGAGCATTTAGCCATGTGTGTGCATATATACACCTTACCTCTCTTGCCCTTTTACAACAAATATGAAACATTAAAAAATGATTTGTACTCCCCCTTAATGTGCATGAAAATGTTAACAGCACAACTTTCTTTTCCTAAATAGAGACAAACCCCTACCCAGAGTGTACAGAGGAAGGTTTTGTAAAATGTTAGGTTAATTGCACAAGGAAGAGGTACTTTTAAAAAGTCTCATTACTTATACTTTCATTGTTTGAAGTACAAACTCAAAAATCACTTTTTTTCTTTCAGAAGAAAAGAAAACTTTATTAAGTTGTTTATTGAAAAACACTGACTTTCATAAGACACACGATTACTGTCTGTTCCCTCTCTGTTCTGTGGACTAAAGTCCTCAAGTAGAACGCCAGTTTTATACATTAAGCCAAACAACAGAGAAAATGCCTTCTTGTGTCAGTGTGACTGGCAGGACTTTTATCTTGTATGACTTTCAAGTTTAATTCTACCAACAACTGTCAATAGGTGGATCGAAGCACATTTGTTTTGCAAAATGAAAGATAGCCATAACCATATGATGCAGACTTCAAAGATCTGTAAGTGTGTCTGTGGTTTTCAGAGACGATCATCACAGCATGGATGGTTCATTACTGTACGTGGTATAAGCTTATTTCAAAATAATATCAAAGTGAGAACTTGTGGCTTGAATAAACTATGTTGATAATGGGTATATGTATGAGCTACTAATAGCATATTGAGGATGATGTGTCATGACGAGCTTATATTTAGAAGTATCTGGACTGTTGTGCTCTTGGTTAGGGATGGGTTTCCAATAGCTGGTTCCAGTTGATAAAATACCAAACCTTATTGAATCTTTAATTCACGGTCTCTCTCAGATTGCCTCTTTTACCTGTTTCTGACAAAGAAAAAAAAAAACTGTTGACATTTCATTTACAAACACGTGGTAACTCAGTGACACATTTTTTAAGTAAGTCTGACTGTACGTGGTGAACCGCCTTAAAGTCAACAGAACAACTGCAAAATGCAATATTTGCAGGAGAGTACTCAAAGGGGAAACAACAAGTCCCTTACTTAAATATTTATCTACTGTACATTATGTTTAAGTAAGAGCTTTTGGCCTATCAGCCTACCACCGGTGTTACACTGTGTTCTGTGACCTGCAGCAGACCAGCAACTAATTTGCGGTGAGGTAACTTTAAGTGCATCGTGCATGCAAAGAAAATCTGTGATTTAGATTTCAAATAATAATAATTAATGTTATGTCCACTGTGTTGTTTTTACTTCCGCTTCTACGGCTTCTGCAGCTGTAGCAAACACTGGTTTCCCCCACAGCAAAAGGAGGAGTGAGTTTGGACAGGGTTAATGAACGTCAGAATATATGTAAGTTTAGTTATAATACTCAGTGAAAGAAAAGTACATATTGTTTTACCTAAGATCGAGAGTCTTTATTTCCCATCAAACAAACTACCTAACAAGATTTTATAAGGCATTTGAAAGTATTTGGATTTGATAAGCAGATTAAGAACTGGATTCAGATTTTATTAAATTCTATCGAAGCCCATCCCTACCGTTGGTAGAGTGCACTCAATTAAATTGGTGTGTTTCAGACCAGCATTCATGTATGAAATAACAGACTGGATTAAACTCCACTGATCAAGCTGTTTCTCTCCTTTGTCCCTTTTTTCCCCTCTTTCTCTTTCTCTCTCTCTCTCTCTCTCTCTATTGTTTAATTATTCCTGGTCACTTGCTTCCCCCAAATCCTGTTGTTTCTCTCACACTGATAAATTTATATTGTGCAGTATCGTCAAGTAATTTAAGAATTTAACTGATAGTCTCTGTAACCACCACTGAACGTATGTTTTGATAAGTTGTGACACTGGTTAACAACAGCAGTCAGACATCCGTGATATAATTTATGTTTCTTGTGTAAGCTTTTTACTTTTTTGAGAGCCACATACTGAGATCTATTGAGGGGTCAGTGGCACCTTTGGGTTCTTAGTTTCAGCAGCTTTGTATTGTAAAAATAGACAATGGAGGTATAGCTCTTTAATCTGCATTAGTACATTTTTCTAGCCACTTGGGGGCCTCGCACAAAGCTAAAAATACAATATTGGTAGATTTTATTACCTGATAAACCTGTTTACACTCGTACCTGGAGCAGGTGCAGATCTTGAAGCCACCAACCAAGAACTGGAGAGGAAACTAAGAAAAATCACTTAACAACAAGGTAATTTCACAAAGCTGGACTAAGTGTGGTACAAAAGTTTACTCAACAAGCAGGTGAAGTTAAGTGTGATTACCACAGCCTTATTCTTGGTAGTAGGTAATAGGTTACACACACCACTACTAAATGATCTGCTCAATCAGAATAAGAAAATGATTCTCTTGGTTAATCAAGTCCAAAGACACCAATAATACAAGAGTACAACAAGAATTTGTTATGGTTTTTTATTGCACCTTCCTCAGAACATACAGTACGTAGCTCAGATACGAATAGATAGAGAATGTTATTTATTAACTGATGTATTGCATTGGTCGATCAGGCGTGACTCTTTGGGATCTTTAGGGCAGTCCTATCACCTTTAGATTAGACTCTTGGTAGCTTTTAGTGTATGCAGGCCACCACTATACCAAGGCTAAACATAAAGATTAGGGGTTGGACGAATTATCTAGGTACAGTATACATTGATACACAGAGAGAAAGTATGACCAGGATTTACCATTAGGACCGAAATGAATAGGGCCTTCCATTCTACAGTGTGCAAAAACTAGGTTAAAAGTACCCTGTGGGGGTTCCTTTGGAGACTAACAGTTTTGTTCACAATCAACATCTTTTACCTGAACCTTATGTTTATATCCCTGTGGTCTGACAAGCACACGTTGAATGTATTTCCTACCTCACAAAACATTTGCATTTGGTTTTTGAGTCCCTGCATTGTCTTTTGCTCTGCTCTCTGCAGTCAGCTGAAGTACAGATCATGTCACCTCTGACTTCCCTCCATATACATATGTGTATCCTCCGTGTGCTGGTAGAACACAACAGCACTCTATAGCCTCACTAGCTGCCAAAAACTCTGCAGGGTACCTTTAATCAGTGCCTGAACTGGACTGTAAAAGGTGCCAGTACCCTAATTCAGCACAACCCCTATTATTTTCCTATTTTTAATCTATTAAAGAAGGACAATTTCAGTGTCGTTTTCTAATTATTAAGCTAGCTACGTGTTTACATCATGTTTAGGAGTACGTCACTAGCATTGTTGTATGCAGGGTTTTATAAATACAGAGTTCCAAAAACTGAACTTGCTCTGGGGGTTTGGGGGCATGAAGCAAAGATCACAAGGAGTAAATTTATTTTTAGGCAATTATTTGACAAGTTTCATTGTATACCCCAATAGCTTTTAATAAAATGTGGGAAAATATTAATTAATATGGACTTAATGTGATTCTGGGGAAGTCATTTTAAAAACATTTTGTTTTGTGTACCTGTCTGAAGCAAATGTTACATCATCTTTTAAATTCCTAAAACATTTTGGGCCAAGTTAGTGGGAAGAAAAATCAATCTTAAATATTTAGTTTTCACGCTGAGCTTTGGAATTGACTTGTGTGGGCTAAACTTACTGTGACTCAAAGGTGGTAATGTATTTATTGCTGTTCTTTTTTTGCTGAGCATTTATCAGGAAAATTAAGGGAAAATCTAACAACAAGCCATTTTTTGGTACACAGCATACTGTATGTTATTAATATCCCTTGTGTCATAATGCAAGTTTATATTACTTTAATATGTTCAAATTAACTGAAAATTGACATTAAATATTGCGACAATATGTTTTTGCATGTACTTTACCATACAGCCTTAGTGATTAGGTTTAAGGCTGCGCCAAAGATCCTAATGAATGTGCACACTGAATTTAGAATAATTCACCAATATTTTGCCACATATATCATCAAATCAACTGACATGAAGCTTAACAGAGAATAAAGGCTTGTAGGATGTTACGGCTGGAAACTATTGACATAAACTTTGAAGAATCACTAATTACAGCATCAAACTCCATTTACAAGTGTGGCTACAAACACATTATGATTGTTACGTTTCCGCTGATATATTGGCCTACTGTGGTTAGTCCCAGCATACACTTCACTGAACAATTACCGACAGATCTCCATTTAAGTCCTATTAGTTGCTAAGTTAGTTTTAGGGTTAAACTGATGTTAAACAGCATCTATCCCTGCCTTCAGCTTTAGCTGGTTGAATCAACACAACAACCTTGGATTCTAACTAATACATACATGTTACTTAATTCTATAATGCAGCTGGGTTGATAACCTCAGAACGACAAAGTGGACAAGCATGTGTTTGCTGATACAGGAAGCTGCAGGTGCAAAGCTGTGATAGAACGTATAGTTAAACACTAAGTGCCATAAGGAGGAGTTGGTGTAATACATAGGAATAGAGAGACAAAGAGGAAGAGAAAACAGCTTCTCCATTTATCACCCACCCCCACTGCTTCTTTTCTGTTTAGATTCCATGTTAATATACCTGGAATAGCTGCTTAAATCAAATCTGACTGTTGCTAATGAGCGTCATCTGGCTCGACGACGGGGTTACTGTCAGCTTGTATATCCAGAGAGCTGTGGGCTGTGCTGTTCCACAGGGCAGAATCAGACTGGGGCTCCAGGGACGGGCTTACAGAGATGGGATCGGAAGAGTTGCTTGTGGCGTTCTGCAGGATATGGGCGGTGGTGGGGGGATGGCTGAACGCGGCATCAGCGGGCAGACTGGATGAAGGACTAGGCGGAGCATTAGATGGGTGGAGAGTAGGTGTATCAGAGGGCATTTGTGAAGAGGAGTTGGATGCTGTATTTGAAGATAGGTTGGAGGGAGTGAGTGAGGGTGAATCCGAGAGTGTGTGAGGGAGTGGGTCAGACGCAGAGTCTGTGGGTGAGTTGGTCATAGTCGGCCTGGGAGTGTGCGCAGGGGTCGGTTCCTGTGGATCTTTGCAAATGATCTGTCCCTCAGCCACATACCACACCTCGTTGTGCCTGTTCAGCAGCTTCAAAGGACTGTACATACACAGACACACACAAGGAAAGAGCAAGAGAGACAAACACAACAATGAGTGATGTGAGCAGTGGTGTGGGTGTGTGTGAGACCGCGCAAACTTTTAAATTAGTAGACAGCCTTGAGAGCTCAACTTAAGAAAACAGAATGCAAAGAGACAAAAAAAAAAAAAAAACAAGAAAAGGTAATACATCAAGTGAGAAATAGGGTAATTTCTCCATAAGACTCAATACTACCAGGCTTAATTTTTGCAGCCCATGTATTGTAGCTGCCCCCTGCTGGCCAATAGAAATAATGCAGGTTTAAGACACTTCTGAGTTGGCTTAATTTCACAGACCTGGAAGCTCTGTCCACTAATTTTATACTGTCAATGGTTTAATCATTTAGCAGCAGAGCAGGGCTGGGTCTGTTAGGAAAAAATAATGCAGACAGAGCTGGGACATGCTTGATTTTGCCACCATTTGCTTCTGTTCTGTCTATTTACATTTGTTTTCTTAAATTGCAGTTAATTGAGCTCTCAGGGCCACTGTGAAACTGTTCTGTTCGGACCATAAATAATTCCTGTGATAGAATATGAGCTCTCTGTACAAAGCCAGAATTATGACTTTAATATTTAAGTTCATCATAGTGGTGTGGCACCACCTAATATTGAAATGTTGTTATATTTTACTCTTGCAATGCAGTCTGTTTCAGAGATATGGTCGTTTATGTCAATTAGGCAACGCCTAAAAGAATTTGGCAGCCAAAATATTAAAAATATCATACGTACAAAACTAAATGATATAGTGGTGTGTGATTCTGAAGAGGAAAATTAGAAATGATTAAGTATTCATGGGAACGTGTCACACCTGTCATAGCCGACTCCATAGTGGTAGCTGTGGTTGTAGGAAGCTCGAACTCTCTCCAGTTCTTTAGTCAGCAGGTGAGCGTGAAGCCTGGAGGTGACTGACAGCATCCAGCCTCCGTAACTCCTCACATAGACGTCCATCTCTGGCATCTCAGTGAAGTACAGCTGTGCAGGATGCATGGATGCAACATTGGCACACACATTGGCACAGGATATCTCACAGTAGATGGATACAGCAGAGAGTACGCTAGGCTTAAATTTGGCTATTGAGAGCCTGAATTCTTGTGGGGAATTTTGTATTTTGTAATTCAAGAGATACAAGAAATCTTACTTAAAGGACCAGTGTGTAGGATTTAGTGGCATCTAGTGGTGGAGTTGCATATTGCAATCAATTCACCTACTTCCAAGCACACAGGAGAAATACAATGGCCACAAAAACTATATTCCCCCCCAGTAAAAGTTGTTTTGGGGAGTTTTGTCTATCCGAATTGAGGGTCTACAGACAGAGGGTGTTGTATGCTGTACAGACTGAGGCAAATTGTGTTTTGTGACACTGGGAAAAATAACTTGACATTATTGGACAATACAGGAACATAAATAGATTGATATAATATAATTAATTGAAAAAATAAAACAAAAGTTAGAGAGTGCATATTTTGGTGGATGTGGCCTTCTATAAATGTGTAATAAACTGGTAGAAATCATTACACATAAAACTCCAATAGACCTATTGCTAACATTGGACTGAGTAGGTTATTAATCGATTAAATATTTGAATATCAGCAGCACTGAAACCATTATGAGACAGCACTTTCTATACTGCTGAGTGACTGAAAGCAGCACTAAATACTGTACATCAATCAATCCATCTCTACTGATCAAATTACACACAGATACCAGGAGGGTAAAAGCAGTTGACCTCATGACTGGCAAGGGCAACAATCTCCAACATCCCTCCCCACCCGTCAGCCTCAGCTCACCTTGTCATTGGTGGGCGCGGGTGGCTTCTCCTGATAGGCTGCCGGCAGCGGGAAGTTGAGCGTGTAGACAGCCGGCTCCCACATCTTGGTCTCCTCTGGGATCTTGACCAGGACAGGGGCGGTCATCTCCATCTGGATACCTGCCAACGACACACAAACACACACACACACACACAGATAAGAACGCACACACAATGAACACACTCTTAAGTGCTGCTTTTCTGCTTTCCGTCCGGTCCTCACCTCCTTCATTGGCTCCAGTGATGTACTGGAAAAGCCTCCTGAAGGCCATGGCTGCACCCACACCCATGAAATAGGCTTCGGCATCTGTTGACACCCAGCGAGTGGGGCTGTAGTGTCGCACCTACACACACACAAACAAACAAAGAGAAATGAGAAAACAAAACTGTAGCAGCTTGATGGGAAGGTATATGTGCTGTTTGACTGGGAGTTCACTCACCTCGTATTCATCTGTTTTGCATACCAGCTCATATTCCAGACATTCCTTTGACTCTGTGCAAAAGCTGGTGTTGGTACTCGGTCTATAACAGAGTGATAATAGACTTAATCGTATGATATATCCACACTATATGGCCAAAACTATGTGGACAGAGTTTTTACCGTTATGTACTTTTAGTCTAGGGCTGTTTTTCATGGTTTGGGCTGCAGCATATGTCAGAGAATAGCATGCTTCCAATATTGTGGCAACAGTTTGGGGAAGACCCTTTCCTGTTTTAACATGACAATCCCCCTCGTGCACAAAGCCACTTCCATAAAGAAAGGTTTCTTCCAGTTTGGTGCCTGCCCCCAGACTTAAACCCCATCCAACACCTTTGGGATGAACTGAAGCCAGGTCTGATCATCCAACATTGGTGGCAAGCCCAGTGTATTCACATAGCACTTACATGAGGAAGAAATGGGAAATAGAGGGATAGAAGAGATAGAAAAGACAATACATCACAACGAGGAGAATGACTTGTGTAACCCACAAAGAAAAAGCTATAAAACCGAAAATAAGAAGAAAACAGATCGGTTTTCAAGATGCTTTTTAAGAGTGGGCGCTGACTTCGGTGGAGGCTCTTCCAGCAACAACAAAAGCACAATCCCCTTTAAGTTTTCAGCTTTGACCTTGAGGCAGCCGGAAGAGCCTGCTCTGAAGACTCGAGGATCCACCCACTGATCAGGAGTAGAGAGGGGCATGGTAATGTAATATCTTGTTTATTGAAAGTAATATCTGGTTATTGTATTAGTGCCGAACCTCACTAATGCTCTGGTGGCTGAATGGAAAAAAGCCCCTACAGCCAGTTAAAAGCCTTCCTAGAAGAGTGGAGCAGCAGATTAAGGCCCTCTGAGGCAAACCCACCCTGCCTAGATGGCAAACTGAACTCCAAATTCCTCACAATATTACTTTGGACAAAAGTGCCAAATTAATGTGTAATAGCTCATGATGTCCACATACTTTTGGCCATG